TGGATCTATTTTGTGTTTTTTTTTCTGAATAAAAGACCGAAGGCAGCCGCACAGAGCCGATGTACAGCTGATTTCGGCAGCTTAGTGATTAACCCTATCAGAGTAGAATCCAATGCAGTTTATTTGCCTTCTCAGAACAGAGGATGTGTTTGCTTGTCGTTCTAAAGGTGCCCATACACCTGCCGATTATCGTACGATAATCGGCAGGTGTATGGAAGGCGTGTGACCGTTTCTACTGTACGGTCGCCCGTCTTTTGTCTCCCGAGCAGGCTCCCGAGTGGTGTTCTCGGGAGACAAATGCCGCACTGTCCAGCGTGCGCACGCGCACACTGCCCCGTACGGCATTGGAATCATCTGAAGCCCTCCCCTCAGGGGGGCGGGCTTTCGATGAGCGCAAGTACGTTCTGCCTGTCCAAGATGGGCAGATCGTACGATTTTTTAATTACCTTACAACCATCGCAAGACAAAAGTCGTACGATGGTTGTAAAGTGTATCGCCAGCTTTAGAGTTAAAAAAAAAACAGCTTTAGAGTGAAAAGACATTCTTATCTTTGCCATTAACAGGTTAACAGAGGACGACCAGCAAGATACTGAAGCTCGGTCCAGCGGGAGATTCCTCCATCCACACAGTTTAGCGTAGATGAAGGAATCTGTTGCACATTTTCCATCTGACCACAGAAACTCTGCAGATAATCTATAGATGTATGGCCAGTTTAAGAAACAAAGAAAAGCAGCAAAGGGGTTTGCTTGCCCAAAGAGCTAGCAATCAGAATTAAAGTATCTCCCTAGCTCTCCCTATTCTTTCCCTGCAACAGCTACCAATACACCGACACTGTGACTGCACCCGAGGGCCATCTTTAATACTGATTGGACCCTGGGCAAACATTTTCTTGGGCCCACCACTCCTACCCATCCCGACCCCCTAACCAACCCCCCCTTACAAAACAACCCCTACCTGCCCCCGCCATGCAATTTTGCCCATGCATATGCCTATACGACTGGGTCGGAGCAACACTATGCAATACCGATCGCACAGTAAACAGAAGAGCGGTGCGAGTGTATCTTTTGTGGGCTCAAGGGCAGGGCCGATGCGAGGATATTTGTGTACACAGGTGTAGGTGCATTTTTCACCCCCTCCAGGACATAGCAGAGCTGCCTCCTCCAGCACACACGTGAACACAGCACGGAGGGCATCCACCCAGCTCTTCGTCTCCCCCGCGCTGCAATCCCCCAGTGCTGAGATAAAGGGCCAGTGGTAGGAGTTTTGCAGCACAGGACCTGCTCAAGGGGCAGCTGCTTTGGGCCCCACAACAATGACTGGGCCCTGGGCAGCTGCCCCTTTTGCCCTGTGTTAAAGACAGCCCTGCTGCACCCCCTCTTTATAGTGAGGGACTAACACAGAACAAAGCCCCTTTATTGACCCTTCTAACCCAGGTGACCAAAGCTCAAAAGCCCCTTGCAGTGCATCAGCCATACAATACATTATGGCGAGTGAACGGCCGCATTAGATCGCCGGGTCTGTGAACTGTGAACGGACTGGGTTCACCTCAAACCCACATCTATCCCAAACCCAAATCTCATTCAACTCCCAGACAATGTAAATGGCATTTGTCCTGTAACGCAGTAAACATTTTTGTCCTCCAGATAATATAACAAGAACACAGATATAAAGTATGTGCTGGATCATCTCACCTTCTGGTAGCAGTGCTGAGATCCCGTCACCTTACACAGTCAGCTGCTCTGCAGAGAAATTAGATCCTGTCTGCAGTGCCCGCTGTATATAGACCACCAGTAATGCTTCGCCAACTTTCACTTTTACTTAACCCTTTCACTGTGCTCGACCATTGAACATTTCTGTGATTTTGTTTTACTTTTTTTTTTATTTTTCACTTCCAGCTTCCAGAGTTTGTAAAAGTCCCGACCCCTCAAATAATAAATCTGTCTGTTGTTTGGTCACTTATGATCCTGCCCATGATATGGCAATATCAAACATTTGGAGAACCACAAGAAAAATCCTTCCAGCCTAGTGTAGACAGCAGCACAGACATCCTGTTATATAACAGACATTCCTTGTAAAGCTGAACATTTCCCAGCATGGAAAATACCTTTCGCTTCCACTCCTCTACAAGGGGCGGCTCCGGACATTTATTTTCTTCACAGTGCTGATCATATAAGTGGAGGGGGGGGTGTGTCTGAACGGGAATAACAAAATGAGAAAACGAAAAATGAGTTGTTATATAGAAACCACTCACAGTGTAATATGAACACTCTAGATCCCTGTAAAGCACATTGGCACAGACACCATTTTTTTGACATTTTTTTTAGACTGGGGTGCCTCGAGGTTTTACTATATTTAGGTCCATTTCTTATATACCAATACATGACAATGGTAGCTCAGAGGTCCCTATTACCAATACCTTCTTTTCCATCCAACCCCCATCCCTTGTTCCCCAGTCAATACACCACACAATACTGGAGTTTAATTGGCCACAGCAGCCTTTTATTATAAATAACTTTTATAAATAACATTATAACCAAATGATATGTTTGTAGACGTGAAGGCTTACATAGCAGTCGTATCTCTTGTGATATCAATTTAGGGTAACGCTTTTTGTTGGACTACTTGTCAGATCGGGAGCATCAGCACCATAGCACCTTGATCTGTGTAAGGCAGGTAAAGATATCGGGGCGGGATTAAACTAAATCAGTTAACCATCAATGAATGGACTACAGTAATACTAATAAGATACAACGGGTACCATTATTTTTATTACAACATTATAAAAAGGTTAGACATAATTTACTGAATAAGGTGAAAGTCATTCCTTGTGGGTGAAAACACACTACTGATAGTGCTTATGTTTATTCTTGTGGACTGGAAGCACATCGGGATCATGATGTGCTTTGTGAATAAGCACAAGAAGAAAATGCTTATATTTTGACGGAAAGGGAAATCATTCCTTCCTATGGTAATACTAGTAAGATAAATAAAACGGGTACCTCCCACCCCCCTCCCACTCTGGCTGTTGTATGTTCCTCAGTGTCCTCATGTCTAATGGGTCTGCTTTAGACGTGATGACATCACAGGTCCTTAGACGCCTGGAGTCCAGGGGAGAAGCAGCTTTTGGGACTGGTCTACCATCCTGGTGAGTGTATCTTCTTTGTTTTCCTCACTAAAGAAAAACAAGCACTTCACCCTTGCCATGCGGGAGTAGCCTCACTGCAAGTGTAAATTGAATAGATCCTGGAGTTCTTCTTTAATGTTTTTTTTATTGTAACAATATTTCTGTTTTTATCATTTGAAAGTTAGCACCATTGTTATGTATTTTTGATACTATGAACCGTAATGTGACATCCAAATAGGCTAAGTTTAAAAGCCCCTACAGGTCATTAGTTTAGAGATACTCATAAATATTGGCCCTAGAATTATTGCTCTCGCTCTGGCGAGCTTGTGACATTTGCAAAAGAGACATAGGGGTCTGCTTGGCTGTTGATAGAGAGCGGGTTGCTCACAATGGAGTGTGTCTTCTAAAGAGACCAAACTGGTTTTTGACAATGGTGTAGCTGCCCTGTATTGTTTCCCCATTATTTGTATTACAATGGGATGGTGTTATGGGGAAACCTTGTGTAACCAATCACACCCAGACTGGTCAAGGCTTATTATTACTGATGGCAATTCTTGATGCTCTGCTGCCACCTAGAGGTGGAAAAGTTAAATACATTGAGGGGAATTTATCCAAACTGGAGCAGACAGAATCTGGAGCAGTTGCCCATGGCAACCAATCAGCATCCACTTTTCATTTTCAAACCTTGACTGAACAAACTGAAGAGAGAAGCTGATTGGTTGCCACAGGCAACTGCTCCAGATTTCTCTGTTCCAGTTTTGATAAATTCCCCCAATGTATTTCACTCTCATACAGGTCTAGAGGGGCAACACCCACAAGTGGGATGCCGTTTTCTCTGAATAAAAGCCAGCAGCCCAAAGGTGAAGGTGGACTTCAGAATGGAACGTTGAGCAAGAGAGGACATCACTATGACCAAAACAGAGGACTCACCATGGAACTCTGAAACAAAGGACTTAGACACCAGAGACTGCAACGAGAAGCCATTTTCCTGTGAACGCTTAATTGCCGAGAAGTCTTGTTCTTTACGG